GCGCAGTGGCTCATGCCTGTAATCTCAACACTTTGGGAGGCCAACGTGGGCTGAACACTTTGGGAGGCCAATGTTATCCTGACCAGTCTGGCTAACATGGTGAAACCCCGTCTCTACTAAAAACACAAAAATTAGCTGGGTGTGGTTGCTCACACCTGTAATCCCAGCTACTTGGGAGGCGGAGGCAGGAGAATCGCTTAAACCTGGGAGGCAGATGCTGCAGCGAGCCAAGATCGCACCATTGCAATCCAGCCTCGGCAACAAGAGTGAAACTCCGTCTCAAAAAAGGAAAATGTTTTAACAGTCATACTTTAATGTCAAGAGCACCATTTTGAAAACTGCATAAAGATGAGTTTTAGATGGCAGATTTGGGTTGAGCTAAGTGATTTTCAGCTTCTGCTCTAGCAAATTATCTGAAGGCTGCTGCTTTTAAAATTCACTCTTCATCATTGCTAGGACTTCATTAGGGCAGCTGGCTACGGTTGGCCAAGTTTATTATTTATTGGCTATAGATGAAATATTCAAATGATTATCCAGTACATGCGACTATTTGCTACCAACCTTGGTGTCTGCAGGTGGTGGAAAGGATGAATAATATGGGTGTATTGCACACTATGGAATCTTGTGCAGTGACAAAAACAACCAATGAAATGCATGCACAGCAAGAACTTTAGTGCTTTAAATACACTACTGAGAAAAAATAGCAAGAAATAAAATTTATAGTGCATACACTAAAACAGTAAAAAGACAAAGGCATATTTAAGAAAATATGGCCAGGCGCAGTGGCTCACACCTGTAATCTCAGCACTTTGGGAGGCCGAGGCGACCAGATCACCTGAGGTCAGGAGTTCGAGACCAGCCTGGCCAACATGGTGAAACCCTGTCTCTACTAAAAATACAAAAATTAGCCAGGCGTGGTGGCACACACCTGTAGTTCCAGCTACTCAGGAGGCTGAGGCAGGAGAATCACTTGAACCTGGGATGTGGAGGTTGCAGTAAGCCAAGATTGCATCACTGCACTCCAGCCTGGGTGACAGAGGGAGATTCAGACTCAAATAAATAAATTCCATATTTCAGGACCAGTACTATGCTAAGTTCCTCCTCTACTTCACAGGTTTAAAAGAGTGGTCACCTAGTCCGGGCATCATAGCAAGACCTCATCTCTACTAAAAATAAAAAAAAAGGTAGCTAGGTATGGCGGCATATGCCTGGGTGTCTGAGGTGGGAGGGTCACTTGAGCCTGGGAAATCAAGCCTGCAGGGAGCTGTGATCACACCACTGCACACCAGCCTGGATGACAGAGTGAGACTGTCTCAAAAAAAAAAATAGTGGTCACTGAAAAGCCCCTTTTACCAACATGCCTTTCTCTCATGGCTTCCACAGACCTAAAATTTTCATCTTTATACATCTGTTCCTACAGTCTCCTTTACATCTGTAAAAACTCCAGAAGTATTACACTGTTAATACCTTGGTATGAATGGGTTTATTGTAGTTTTTTCTTGCCACCCATCAGATGACCTTGGGAAAATGTTCAGCATTCCTTATGGTGTAAGGGGTGCTCTCTGGGAGGATAGAGACAGATGAAACAAAGCAATGTAGTTTTTCCTCCTAGTTCCTGCTTAATTAAACACTGACATTCACTAAGAACCCACTATTAAGAAGATACCTTGAAGGCATGTAGGGTTTTAAAGATTAATATAGATTGCAATCTTTGCTCTTAGAACTTAGCAGAGAGACAATCACAGATACTTACAATATGATGCAACCACTTTAATAGAGGTTTGAGAATTATGTATGTAAAGCACCCAGCCCAGATGCTTAACACAAAGGAATTGCCTTTTCCCTGTTCCTCTGCGGTAGTCTGAGAAAGCTTCACAGAGAAGCACTCTGTCTTGGAGGATAAGTAGGAATCTTTCAAGCAAAGAGCTGGAGATGAAAATGGTGTGCTGGTGAATGTTCAACTGGCATTCAGTTGAACAGGAGGGGGACAAAGCTGTGATGTGTATCATTTGCCAATTTCCATGGTGTAAATACTCCTACTGCAGATCTCAAGCTACCAACATGATGTGATTGAATACTGAGTTGGGACTAGATGTGCATGAACTAGTGAGAGCAGCTCCAGCACACCATAAGGAGACCAGATAAGAGAACAGCCCATCCAAAGGCATGGAGGACTGAAAACATCTGGCAATAAATTGGCTATTGTTCCACATAGTGTGTGAGAGGTGCTGGAAGAGACGAAAATAGAGAAGCATGCACAGTCTAAACCAGATATCCACGAGGAGAAAAGCAGGCATAGCCTGTGATGGAAGAAACAGGTTATGTAAGACGCATTTGGAAAACGGTTTGGAAATAGATCACAAAAGGCATTGAACTTTTGTAATTTTATGTTCTATGCAACTGATTACAATCTAAACAATCCGTGTTTTAAAAAAGTAACTCTAGGCCAAGCATAGTGCCTCATGCCTGTAGTCTCAGCACTTTGGGAGACCAAGGTGGGAGGATCGCCTGAGCCCAGGAGTTTGAGACCAGCCTGGGCAACATGGTGAAACCCCCGTCTCTACAAAAGACAAAAATTAAAGTCTAGCCAGACATGGTGGTGCCCACCTGTAGTCCCAGCTACCGGGGAGACTGAGGTGGGCGGATCACCTGAGCCAGGGAGGTTGAGGCTGCAGTGAGCCAAGATTTTGCCACTGCACTCAGCCTGGGTGACAGAGTGAGACCCTGTCTCACAAAAGAAAAGAAATATACTCTAGTGGCAGTATAGAGGATTAATTAAAAGGCAGAGAGACTGGGAGTAAAATGACTAGTTAATAAATTTTCAGGCTGGGTGTGGTGGTTCATGCCAGGAATCCCAGCACTTTGGGAGGCTGAGGCAGGTGGATCACTTGAGGCCAGGAGTTCAAGACCAGCCTGACCAACATGGAAAAACCCCATCTTTACTAAAAAAAAATACAAAATTATCCAGGCATGGTGGTGCATGCCTCTGATGCCAGCTACTCAGGAGGCAGAGGCAGGAGAACCACTTGAACTTGGAAGGTGGAGGTTGCAGTGAGCTGAGATCACACCACTGTATTCCAGCCTAGGTTACTGAGAGAGACTCTGTCTCAAAATTAGGTAAATAGAGCCGGGTGTGGCAGTTCATACTTGTAATCCCAGCACTTCGGAGGCTGAGGCAGCTGGATCACAAGGTCAGGAGTTCAAGACTCCAGACTGGCCAATATTGTGAAACCCTGTCTCTACCAAAAATACAAAAAAATTAGCTGTGCATCGTAGTGCATGCCTGTAATCCCAGCTACTTGAGAGGCTGAGGCAGGAGAATCGCTTGAACCTGGGAGGTGGAGGTTGTAGTGAGCCAAGATCAGCCACTGCACTCCATCCTGGGCAACCGAGTGAGACTGTCTCAAAAAATACATTCATACATAAATTTTCAAATAAAGATCTAGGCTGACAATGCTTGGCATCTTTGGGACACAACTCAGCACTTCACAGGGTGTGTATATCAGATTCTTTCACTCAAGCCTTTAGAAAATAAAGAAAAACAATAAAAATAACTCTTAAAAATACTAGTAAATATAAACTATACAATGCACTGCATAGCTTTGTCAGGCATGAATGTGTATGCGTACCTTTTTATGCTGTGAATTCTTTAATGAATCCCTGTTCCTCCACAACAGGGAATATTTCTCTGCTTCTGCTTCTTATTGCTAATTCTTCTTGCTTGTTCCTGAGTAGAACACTCGTCTCATTAAGCTCTCAGATATGTTCTGTTTTTGCTTGATGTTCAATTATATAAGTGCTCACCCCCTTTAACCACAGGAAGGTTTGTTTCTGCAGCTGCAGTGCCCTGCTGCTTGCTATGCCAAGCCAGATTTCCACACCGAAGCGTTGGAGCTGAAGGCAACATTTACCTTGGAGGTGCCAGTTTCTCAGGTCTCCTGCTTCTGTATTCGACACTGGCTGCACAGCCACATGGTTGATGGGCCCTGGGTCTACATTAGCTGACTGGTCTAAAGGCTCCCTGACCTTGTTCTAGTTCTCTTGCTAATAGCAACCCACAAGATGGTCACATAACTGCAGCTGCTGTGGTTTTGCTACAGATTTCTGTGATCATTTTGTAGGTATAGGCATCTACCCCTGCGGGAGGTCCTGCGATTTATACAGAAAGATGTACATGTGCTAGTGTTTGCAGATCCCATACTGACTCATTTTTTCCTGTTTTCCTCTTCCTTCTGTTCTTGGCGTCAGAACCAAGCACTTATTACTAAAGGTTGGGACTGCGTAGCCCAGGGCCTTTAACTCTTTTACCACCAGCCTGTGGGGTAGCAGCACCAAGAAAGCAGGGGAAAGCAGGGGAGGAGACGGGAAGAGAGAGCAGGGGAGGGGAGGGAAGGAGAGAAGAAGGGAGGGGGAGGGAGGGGAGAGCAGGGGAAGGGAAGGGTGGGAAGGGGAGGGGAAGAGAGGGGAAGGGAGGAGAGGGGAAGAGAGTGGAAGGAAGGGAAAGGGAGGGGAGGAGAAGGGAGGGGAAGAGAGGGAAAGGGAGGGGAAGGGAGGGGAAGGGTCCACTACTGCTCAGGCCTCCTGGATCTAAGCTGAAATCCTAGGAGCCAAGGTCCTCTTACTTCCTCCCACACATGCCGGCATTAGTGCTGACACTTCATCTCCAGCCAATCTCCAATGCAGTGGTTACGAGTGTGGGCCCTGGGTCAGAGCACCTGATTCAACCCTCGATTTGCAGGGTAACCCTGGTAAGACTGCCAAATTTAGCAAAGACAAACAAATGCAAACTGGATACCTTTTTAAATCTGAATGGCAGATAAACAATGAATTTAATATGAGTACATCCCATACAGTATTTCTACTAAGATATTATTTGTTACTTAGTACATTTATCTGGGTGTCTAGTATTTTATCTGGCAACCCAGACCTCAGGCAAGCTACTTTACCCCTCTAGGCCCACACTTCCTTATCCAGAACTTGAAAATAATCGCACTGCTTACCTGAAAGGGTGGCCTTGAGGATTAAAGGAGACAATGTAGAACGCTAGGGAAGCGCCTGCAGACACACATTTAGTGAGTGTTAAGTAGACATTCAACATAATGTGGCGAATACTCAGTATTGTGGTAGTATAGTACATGTATAGCCTTGGGAGGCATACAGACCAGGTTCAAACCCTTCCTCTGTCACTTATGTGCACTGTGACCTTGAGCAAATTATCTAACTTCTCTGTGCCTCAGTAATCATCATTTACAGAATGGGGATAATTGTAGTTTTTACCTTATGTTGTTGAGTGGAGTAAATAAGACAATATATGGAAATCAGACAGTGCCTGGTAAAAGTATCAAATAGTATTCTATGTATTAAATAGCGATAAGGACATTATATAAATTATTTGTCTCCTCCAGGACCCTCCTTCCCCCCTCCATCCATCATCTTTTTTGGGAAGCTTCTCTGTCCTATTCCAGCCGGCACCAATTTTTCCTTCCTCTGAATTTTTGCAGTCCTTGCTGATTTTACCAACACAGAGCCCTTGATTATACTCTACCCTGCCCCTCGGACTGAGAATTACACCACTGGCCCCCCTGGGCTCCAGCTTGCAGACAGCCAGTGTGGGACAGTCTCCTAATCGCGAAAGCAACCATGGAAAACCTGCGGGAAAACACCACCATTATATCCACCCTGCAAGCTTTGAACAACTTCATCTCTCAGCGTGTGGAGGGAGGGTCTGGACTGGATCATTCCCACCTCGGCCCCAGGTTCTCTGCAGATGCAGTACTAGCAGAGCGAGCAGCACGAAGTCCACCACAGCCAGGAGCTCCTGACGCGCAGCCTGCAGCTTCAGGAGCGGGAGGCCCAGGCGGAGGTTAAAAGATGCAGGAGCAGCTGGAGCCAACAGGCAGTGTCAGTATAGCCTGGGCATCACGAGCAAGAGGCTGCTCGAGAAAGAGGACAGCCTGGCCCAGGCTGGCAAGACTATCAATGCGCTGAAGGGGAGGATCTCGGAATTGCAGTGGAGCATGATGGACCAGGAGATGCAGGTGAAGTGCCTGGAGTTAGAGAAACAGTAGCTGCAGGAGCAGCTGGACCTGGAGCACAAAAAATGGCAGGAAGCTGGCCAGAAAATCCAGGAACTCCAGGCCAACCAGGAAGTGAGAGCAGACCACAAGCAGCGGATTAAGGGTCTGGAGCAGAAGCTGTCCCTGCAAGAGCAGGATGCTGCAGTTGTAAAGTCTGAGCCGGTGTGACTCCCTAGGCTGGAACAGCTGCAGGAGGAGAGCAGGTGCCTGCAGTCAGATGAGAGAGACCAATGGGCTGCTCCAGGAGGAGCCGGAAGGGCTGCAGAGGAAGCTGGGGTGCCAGGAGAAGATGCAGGGGACACTGGTTGGCTTCGAGCAGGAGAATGAGAGGCTGCTGGCCAAGCTGTAAAACTGAGAGAGACTGGACCAGACCACAGGCCTGAGAGTCAGGACTCCAGACCTTTCTAGATGCATGGTGGAGCTGCAACAGAGGAAGCTTGCCTTGCAGAACAAGAACAGCACCATCACAGGCAATGCCTGGGGGCTGGAGAAGGCCAGGCAGCAGCTGCAGGAGGAAAGGAAGAAGTGCAAGACCCATGAAACACTGGCCTAGAGGCTCCAGAAATGGGTCCTGCTGCTCACTAAAGAACGGGACGGCATTCGGGCCATCCTGGGCTTCTATGACAGCGAGCTGACTCCGGGCAAGTACTTGCCCTAGCTGACCCGGCGCATGCATGCGGGAGGCCAAGGACATGGTGCAGAAGGTGCACAGCCACAGCGCTGAGATGGAGGCTCAGCTGTCGCAGGCCCTGGAGGAGCTGGGAGGCCAGGAACAAAGAACAGACATGCTGGAGACGGAGCTGAAGATGCTAAAGTCTTAGTCCAGCTCTCCAGAGCTTCCTGTTTTCCAGGGAGGAGATGGACACGCTCAGGTTGAAGGTCAAGGAGCTGGAGGGAGAGTGGAGTTGGCTAGAGGAGAAAAAGAGGACGTTGGAGGCACAGCTGGATAGGTGCACGCTGTGGGGCCACTACGACCAGAGCAAGACCAAACTGCTGCACATGAGCCTGAACCCTGCCAGTGTGGCCAGACAGCACCTGCGCGAGGACCACAACCAGCTGCAGGCGGAGTGCAAGTGACTGTGCGGGAGGCACCGTCCCAGCTAAACTTAACGCCGCTGCCAGGAGTCTGCCGTCATCTGAGCCTGTGACAGAGCTGATGAAGCAGGTGGAGAGCGTCGAACTGAAGAACCAGCAGCTCAAGGAGGTTTTCCAGACCAAGATCCATGAGTTTTGCAAGGCCTGCTGCAAGCTCACTGGCTACGAGATCGACATCACTACGGAGAACCAGTACCTGGCCTCGCTGTATGCCGAGCACCAGGGCAACTGCCTTACCTTCAAGGCCACCAGCCCCTTGGGTTCCAAGACGAAGCTGCTGGAGACAGAGTTATCGTGTACAGTGGGCAAGTTCATCGAGGTGCACCTGCAGCACCAGGACAGCATCCCCACCTTCCTCAGCTGGCTTATCCTAGAGCTCTTCAGTCTCCAGACCATGGCCTAGTCTGCAGCCTCGGGAGTGCAGCCACTGTGCTTGGCCTGCCCTGCAGGTCTCCTGCCCTACAGCCATAGGCTGGGTGCACGTCCTGCCTCTCCAGGCCAGCGGCACAACTGACAGACATGCTGGGACCAACACACATCGGACATCCTGCTGGGTAGCCGCACCCTCCCACACGCAAACCCCCTACATCCCAGAGCCTGGTGAGTGTGGGTCCACCGCTGGCCCTGGCTTCACACCTTGTGAAATAAACTCTTACCTTGCAGACAAAAATAAATAAATAAATAAAAATAAAAAATAAATAAAGGAGAGGACTCAAGATGGCACTGTGAGAACAACCCAGGATTGAAGCTCTCGCTGGATGCGCGGAGAGGGTGAGTCGGGGACGCATTTCCAGACGGATCTTAGTTGCCCACAGAATGGGGAAATTCCCAGGTATAAAAGAGACGCAGGACGCCAGGCAGAGGTTTTGGCTGGTGTAGCCGGCAGCCAGTGAAACTGCGGCCCACACCGGAGCGCAGAGGCGCTCCACAGCGCTCCATACAAAAGCCCACTGTTACAGGTGCCCTGTTGAACCGGCAAACTGAGACCTGAGAGGGCTGAACTTGAGACTGAACGGGACTTGGACAGTGAGCCAGCCCAGAAAATCCCAGGGACACAGCGTTTGGGGTAGCACGGTACGACAAACAAAACAGCAATTCCAAATGCTCCTGGTGAGGAGGTTCCCTTAAAGCACAACTCCGTGGGGGAGGGGCATATGCCATTACCGAGGCAATCAGCCCCTACTGAGGTACACGCCCATTGCTGATGCAGCCTGCCGTTGCCAAGGCAACCCGGTACAATAGAGAGACTCCGCCGCAGGGCGTAGCACGTGGCAGCAGGGCAGAGACCGCAGCAGAAGGGCAGAGCCTGCAGCAACAGGGCGAACCTCACACTAGCAGGGCAGAGCCTTGGCAGGCAAATAGTGACTAGACTGCCTCCTAGCTGGGCAGGACAGCACAGCAGACACTCAAAATTAAAGCCCAACCCTTTAAGAAAGAGCAGCTGGGAAAAAAAAAGGGTTTTTTTAATGAGTTCTGTTGCAGCAGAATTAAACATAGCAGCCTAACAGCCCTGAATGAACAATAGAGCTCACAGCTCAGCAATTGAGCTCCTATAAAGTACAGACTGTCTCCTCAAGCAGCTCCCTGACCCCTCTATATCCAAAAGACTGACATTTGGCAGGCATCATTCTAGGACAAAGATAGCAGAAAAAGAAACTGGTAGCATCCCTCACTGTGCCACAGCTGCTAGAGGTGCACCCCAGACAAGCAGGGCCTGGAGTGGACCTCTGCAGTCATACAGTGAAGGGGCTAGACTGGTAGAAGGAAAACCAAGTAACAGAAATACTTCATCATCAACAACCTGGGTGTCCATTCAGAGACCCAATCGAAAAGTCAGCAACTACACAGACGACAGGTGGATAAATCCACAAAGATGGGAAGAAACCAGCGCAAAAAGGAGGAAAACACCCAAAACCAGAACACCTCGCCTCCTAGAAAGGACCAAAACTCCTCACCAGCAAGGGAACAAAGCTGGACGGAGAATGACTGTGAGGAAATGACGGAATTAGACTTCAGAAGGTGGATAATGAGAAACTTTTGTGAGCTAAAAGAACATGTTTTAAATCAATGCAAAGAAACTAAGAACCTTGAAAAAAGATATGAAAAAAGATTCAAGGAAATGATAACAAGAATGGATAACTTAGAGAGGAATATGAATGAATTAAAGGAGCTGAAAAACACAATATGAGAACTTCGCGAAGCATGCACAAGTTTCAATAGCCGAACTGACCAAGCAGAAGAAAGAATATCAGAAGTCGAAGATCAACTCAATGAAATAAAACGAGAAACCAAGATCAGAGAAAAAAGCGCAAAAAGAAATGAACAAAGTCTCCAAGAAATGTGGGACTATGTGAAGAGACCTAACCTACGTTTGATAGGCGTACCAGAATGTGACAAAGAGAATGAATCCCAGCTGAAAAATGCTCTTCAGGACATTATCCAGGAAAATTTTCCCCACCTAGCAAGACAGGCCAACACTCAATTACAGGAAATACAGAGAACACCACAAAGATATTCCACAAGAAGAGCAACCCCAAGGCACATAATCGTCAGATTCAACAAGGTTGAAATAAAGGAGAAAATACTAAGGGCAGCCAGAGAGAAAGGTCGGGTCACCCACAAAGGGAAGCCCATCAGACTCACAGCAGATCTCTCGGCAGAAACTCTACAAGCCAGAAGAGAGTGGGGGCCAATATTCAACATCCTTAAAGAAAAGAATTTTCAACCCAGAATTTCATATCCAGCCAAACTGAGCTTCAGAAGTGAAGGAAAAATAAAATCCTTTGCGAACAAGCAAGTACTCGGAGATTTTGTCACCACCAGGCCTGCTTTACAAGAGCTCCTGAAAGAGGCACTACACATAGAAAGGAATAACCAGTACCA